ATTTTATGGAAAACGTTTCGTCAGCTACTGGCTTCTTCAGTCCTATACAAAGAAGAGCGGTGGCGATGAGTTTGAGGTAACCAGTCCCTAAGGGTTGGTCTCGTGTAGGCGAGCTGAAGAGTTGTGTGCACGGCGTTGCCATCTATGGTGAAATGATAAGAATAGTGAAATTGAGAAGAGATTTAATCTAAGAGATTCTTCTTCAAGGAATTCACGTCTGCAGATGTTACGTATAGCACAAATAAGGGGACAACACAAGTGTCAGGGGCCCAAGACTGTTTAACTGCTCCAGTATACAAAAGGGGGATTAAAAAATCGACCCCTGGCTGTCTTCAAGCAGGCACTGGACAGGCATATAAAGTCAGTACCTGATAAGCGGGGCTGTGGTTCGTACGTCGGTTTGCGTGCGGCCAATAGTAACACCCTGGTTGATCAGGCCTTGATCCACCACGGGCCTGGTCACGGGACGGGCCGCGGGGGCGTTGACCCGTAACTCTCTCCAGGTATACTCCAGGTATAGCCTCGGTGTAGTGGGCAGAGTAGCAGTGAAGATCGTGTTGACTGGTGAGTTGTATGTTAAATGGACACAAGCGTAACTAATGTGACATTTTACTGTGGCAACGTTTCGCTCTCCAGGACCTTTATCAGGTCGTTACAAACTTAGAAAAATAGTTTGTTTAGATTTGCAGAGTCATCATCTATGAGAGATAAAGTAACTTTGACTTGGCTAAACTTGTGCTGGAGAACAGAGATTGTACCTTCTGTGAGTATGTTGTCAACATATAGGAGCCAGGTGAACAAGGAGGGTATACATGTGCAACATCTGGGTATCTTTATTGTAGACGTTTCGCCATCCATTGGCTTTATCAATACAAATTCCAGGACATAACTTGAAGACAGGAGAACTATGTACAGAAGATGAGGTAATCAGTCCCTCAACCTAACAGTAGGTGCGAAGAGCACAGTAGTCGTGGAGATTCTGAAGCAGAAGCAAGGCGCCTGACGCTTATATAGTAACGTCAGGTGGAAATGGGACGGGTAGCAGACGAGGGCGTAGTCACTGGTAGGCGGGATTCCCCAGTGGAAGTAGGTCCTACCCAAAGAGATGGGTTAGTTGTAGTAGTCGTGAAGGTTATGTACATGTCCTCAGAATCAAGATTCCATGATGTTGCAGTGTCTGGAATCTTGATTCTGAGGACATGTACATAACCTTCACGACTACTACAACTAACATCTCTTTGGGGTTTGGACCTACTTCCACTGGGGAATCCCGCCTACCAGTGACTATGTCCTCGTCTGCTACCCGCCCCATTTCCACCTGACGTTACTATATAAGCGTCAGGCGCCTTGCTTCTGCTTCAGAATCACGATACGGTGCTCTTCGCACCTACTGTTAGGTTGGGGATGATTACCTCATCTTCTGTACATAGTTCTCCTGTCTTCAAATTATGTCCTGGAATTTGTATTGATAAAGCCACTGGATGGGGAAACGTCTACAATAAAGATAACCAGATGTTGCACATGTGTCTCAATTTCATCTTGTCGGTATTGTATGCCATTCCTGTACAAGGAGGGTATAATTGAGAAAAAAACCTTTCGGCTTGAAGATTCTCATGCATAGGTTGCGCTTGTGAACCCACAAGTAGGCTGAAATCTGTTCGAGAGAAAAAATTTAAAAAAAAATGTTTAAACTAACACAGTTTAAAAAGAGATGAAGAATCAAGCGGGTTGGAACAGAGGGGTCCCGGGAAGTCATTATAATTCTAGCGCCTGAGATCGAAGGCTTCTGCTGTGGATACTTTAATGAGCTGGGGTGTTACTTATAGGCGAAGTTCTTGTTTTTGATGGTAATAATGTGGTTGAGGAAGTCACCGAGTGTTTTGCGTGTGCGTGATTGATGTTTGCTAGGTGTTGGTTAATATGTTCGCTAGGTGTTGGTTAATATATTCGTAGGTGTTGGTTAATTATTTGCTAGGTGTTGGTTAAAAATGTTCGCTAGGTGTTTGGGTTTAAAATGTTCGCTAGGTGTTGGTTAATATGTTCGCTAGGTGTTGGTTAATATGTTCGCTAGGTGTTAATATGTCCGCTAGGTGGGTTTAAAAAGTTCCCCAGGTGTTGGTTAATATTCTTGAAGTTTCACTGTAACACATCCAAGATTTTTGGATGTGGTACGGGAAAACCTCATGCACAACATGTTAAGGACACTACCAGAGTGGAGGGGGAAGATGAACCAGCAAAAATTGGCCTTGTGTTCGCCTGGGCAGTTCAGACATTGAGGACATCACATATGAGAGTCCCTAGGAGCTAGTGACCACGTGGTTCTGTGCTTTGAATACATAGTAGAGTTGCAAGTGGAGAGAGTAACAGGAGTTGAATGGGAAAAGCCAGACTATCAAAGAGAGGACTACATAGGGTTGAGAAACTTCCTTTAGGAGGTTTTCCCTGGGACAGAGAAAATGGTAGGAAAGGGCCGGTAAATGAAATGATGGAATATGTAACAACAAATGCAAGGAGGCAGTGGAAAGGTTTATTCCCAGGGGCACAGAAACAATGGGAAGACCAGAACGAGCCTGGTTTACCCGACGGTTTAAGGAGGCAAAAAAAAAAGTGCAATAGAGAATGGAAAAAGTACAGAAGGCAGAGAACACATGAAAATAGGGAGATTAGTCGCAGAGCCAGGAACGAGTATGCACAGGTAAGGAGGGAGGGCCGTGGGCAGTATGAAAATAACATAGCATTGAAAATCAAGACTGACCTGAAACTGTTGTATAGCCACATCAGGAGGAAGTCAAAAAGTCAAAGACCAGGTGATCAGACTGAGGACAGAAGGTGGAGAACTCTCAAGAAATGATCAGGAGGTATATGAGGAGCTAACAGAAGATTTAAAGGGAAGTTTTTACAGTAGAGACAGGAAGGGCTCTGGGAAGACAGCACAGAGGGAACATCAAGAGGGAATATACCAACAAGTGTTGGATGAATACGAACAACGAGGGAGGAGGTGCAGAAGCTGCTAAGTGACCTTGACACCTCAAAAGGGGATGGGACAGGACAACACATCTGGTGGGTTTCCCTTTGAGAAGGAGCAGAGATGCTGTGCGTGTCCCTAACCACAATCTTCAACAAAATCCCTTGAAACTGGGCAACTACCGAGAAATGGAAACAGCAAATGTAGTCCCCATATTTAAGAAAGGAAACGAAAAGAGGCACTAAACTACAGACCTGTTTTCTCTGACATGTATTGTGTGCAAAGTCATGGAGAAGATTATCAGGAGGAGAGTGGTGGAAACACCTGGAACGGAACAAGATTATAAATGAAAACCAGCATGGGTTCAGAAAGGCAAATCATGTGTCACAAACCTTCTAGAGTTTTATGACAAGGTAACAGAAGTAAGACCGAGAGAGAGGGGTGGGTTGATTGCATTTTCTAGACTGCAGGAAGGCCTTTGACACAGTTCCTCACAAGGATTAGTGCAGAAGCTGGAGGATCAGGCGCTTTTAACGGGGAGCACTGCAATGGATCAGGGAATACCTGACAGGAAGGCAAAACGAGTCAGGTACGTGAAGAGGTATCACAGTGGGCGCCTTTGACGAGCGGGGTCCCACAGGGGTCAGTTCTAGGACCAGTGCTATTTTTTTACATTTGCGAACGACATTGATGGAAGGGATAGACTTGAAATGTCCTATTCGGGAGATGATGTGAAGCTGATGAGAAGAATTAAAACGGATGTGGATGAGGCAGGACTGCAAAGAGACCTGGACAGGCTGGACATGTGGTCCAGAAACTGGCTTCCCCGAATTCAACCCTGCCAAATGCAAAGTCATGAAGTTGGGGAGGGGCAAAAAAGACAGCAGACAGAGTATAGGCTAGGTGGACAAAGACTACAGACCTCACTCAGGGAGAAAGACCTTGGGGGGACCATAACACCGAGACATCACCGAAGGGACACATCAACCAAATAAATGCTGCAGTATTGGGGGGCCTGGCAAAACCCGAGAAAAAGCGTTCCGATACCGTAATAAGGAATCGTCAAGACATGTACACTGTGTATGTTAGGCCCATTACTGGAGTATGCAGCCACCAGTCTGGAACCCACACCTGGTCAAGCACGTCAAGAAGTTAGAGAAAGTACAAAGGTTTGCAACAAGGCTAGCCCAGAGCTCAGGGGAATGTCGTACCCGGAAAGGTTGAGGGAAATCGGACTGACGACGCTGGAGGACGAAGGGTCAGGGGAGACACGATAACGGGCATACAAGTACTGTGGGGAATAGACAAAGGGGGACAGAGATTTGGATGTTCCAGAGAGGGGACACAGAAACAAGGGGTCACAACTGGAAGCTGAAGACTAGACGAGTCACAGGGGGCGTGAGGAAGTATTTTCAGTCATAGATCGTCAGGAAGTGGGAAAAGCCTAGCAAGTGAAGTAGTGGGGGGCAGGAACATACATAGTTTTTAAAAAGAGGGATGACAAAGCCAGGAAGCAGAGAGGGAGAGGACCCAGTAGCGATCAGTGAAGAGGCGGGGCCCGGAGCTGAGTCTCGACCCCCGCAACCACAATTAGGTGAATACAATTAGGTGTGTTTCACACCGCACACGCACACGCACACGCACACGCACACGCACACACGCACACGCTGAGAGATGCATAAATCTTGTTGGATAATCGCTGACATACATAGTCCTATACGTAAATTCCTTTAAAGCTACCCAAGGTCCTAGCCTCTATCACCCCACTGGGAAGACTGTTCAACGCATCTACAACTCTGTTAGAAAACCAGTACTTACCTGTCATTTCTAAATCTAAATTTATCCAACTTAAATCCATTATTCCTGGTTCTTACCTGGTTCGACACCCTCAGTACTTTATTAATATCTCCCTAGTTTATAATCTTGATTAACGATGAGCTCATTATCCAGATTCACCCTCAATGCGTTATCCGGATTAATGAGATATATATAATCCGGATTCGCGAGAGACTGATGAGGCCTTGATCTCTTGCAGGAGGAGAGACACCAGCGGCTATACACTCTGGAGGCAGCAGCGGCACCTGCCTTATGTTGCTGCCTCTACTGCTGTACCTCGCTCTCTGCCTCGCCTCCACCTGCCTCATCTCACCCTCCTGCTGTGCAATGGTAAGTTCTATCTCATGTTGCTGCCTCAACTGCTGTGCCTCGCTCACTACCTCGCCTCCATCTGCCTCGCCTTACCCTCCTGTTCAATGGTAAGTTCTACGTCTACTGCTGTGCCTCGCTCTCTACCTCGCCTCACCTCTTTCTCGCCCCCACCCTCCTGCTGTGCAATGGTAAGTTCTGCCTCATGTTGCTGCTCAACTGCCCGTGCCTCGTTCTCTGTCTCGCCCACCTGCCACATCACACTCCTGTGCTAAGGTGAGCTTTAACTCAAAACATCACAGGTACACACTGATTTAAATCAGTGTATATTAATTCTCTGCAGTATTCAGTAAAATATTTTGTTTACAGTTATTTGTATAAAATATATAAAGATTTCTTGAGTATACGTGAGTGTTCTGATTGCCTCTTCATTGACTGATTGCCTCATTTGGTTCTGATTGCCTCTTTATTGTTGACTGCCTCATTGAATTGTCTGATTGCCTCTCATTGAGTTAGTTGTCTCTCTATCATTGAGTTGTCTGATTTTCTCATTGAGTGATTTGCCTGATTGCCTGGGCTGGAATTAAGTACTGGCAGTGGTATTAATACCACAGTCTGGACTGGTGGTACTGGTACATACAACAAGACATACCAGTACCCTAGGTTATGTTCTTTGTACATATTGTCAGAGATGAAGACTGACACTTGGGCAACATATGGGAATTTTTATTAAGGAAATGTTTCGCCACACAGTGACTTCATCAGTCCAATACAAAGCAGAAAGGTGTAAGGAGAGGAGTAGTTTGTGGTAATCAGTTTTCAAAACCATTTATCGTACCTTATTCTAAAGTGTTTTCTGCTCCTCTTGTCCTATCCAGCACTTTGAAAAAACTGGTCATTCTCCTTCTGACAGGTTATAGAACACAGTGTTAGCATTATGACAGTAAAAATTCTCCTTCCTGTCATGTTAGAGATCAAGGTCACATTATTAGCCACTCCTCTTCCAGGACTGTTTACCCTTCCAGCCTTCACAGACACCGTCTTGTTGAACGCATCGCTTATACACAACTTTTCTAATAATAGTGTTAGTCCTGGCTTTGCTTCTGTTGTTAACTTTCTCATTACATTGTGAAATGCTCCAAACTTCAGAGCACTCGCGACTTGACCTGATCTGTCTTCTTCCAAAGTGAATTCTGACCTAAGGGGTTTTGTTCCATTAGGATTTGGTCTTACCCTCGTGTGTCGTTAGCTCTTCTGCAGTGTTTCTCTTGTTTACTTCTCAGACTACCTCCACCATTACTTCTGTTCCTACTATACCTTTGCTAAGTTTCCACCCTCTGTCCAGTTTTTTCACTACCACTACTGCCTTCATTTAGCCATCTCTACTACTGTTGCACTGCTGTATCTACTATGTTACTACCGCTTCCACCACTGCTTCCATCATTTCTATACTACTACACATAGCTACTAGTACTCCACCATCACTACTACTACTGCCACCACCCACTACCACTACTACTGCTTCTACTACTATTACTGCTGTTGCTGCTGCTACTGCTACTACTACTACTACTACTACTACTATACTACTATTACTATACTACTACTATACTACTATTACTATACTACTACTACTATTACTACTACTACTACTACTACTAAGCAGAAATCTAAAGCCAAGACAGCAGTGCCTAAGTGTACGCAATAAGGCTAACAGATTACTAGGATTTATTTCAAGAAGCATAAGTAACAGAAGTCCAAAAGTTATTTTACAGCTCTATACATCACTAGTGAGACATCACTTGGATTATGCCGCTCAGTTTTGGTCTCCTTACTACAGGATGGATATAAATTCATTGGGAACATACTAAGCCAGATTGCTGACAGTAACAAAAACTAGTATTGTCGTCTACCTCGACCTTGAAAAGGCATTTGAGCTAGCCAGCCCCACAGCAATTCTGGCAATACTAGCTCGGAAGGGAATCAAAGGACGCCTCCTGGCCTGGATAGAGTCCTACCTTAGGGGCAGGCAGGCCTGTGTCAGCTTTCAGGGACACTACTCTTCCTTTAAATCCCTGGAAAACGGTACACCACAAGGAGGTGTGCTCAGTCCTACCCTGTTTAACATCCTTATGCAGGAACTTGTGAGCCTTCCCTTTCATAGTGGTACACAGCTCCTCAGCTATGCTGATGATCTTGCACTCGTAGTGAATGGGAAAGGCAATTTAGAACGACAGGCTCAGAATGCTTTGGACCTAATTACGCAGTCTTGCAAGGAACTAGGCCTCAAGATCTCCGCCGAGAAATCTCTTACAATGATGTTCAAGGGACCAGATCCTGTGAATAGATTACGTATTCAGGATATAGAACTTGAGTGGACAGGCTCCTACCTGTACTTGGGAATCTACATTGATAAAAAGCTGACCTTTCAGAAACAGGCCGAGTATGTCAGGTCACGTGCTCTACTCAGAGTCAACGCCATGAGAGCCATGACGAGGCACCGTGCAGGGGCAAGCAAAGATGTACTTCGCTTGTACTATATACAAGCTATACGCTCGCTCATTGACTACGGTGCACCGGCTTTAGCTCATCTCTTCCCGCAGAGCAGGCAAAGAGTGGAGGTCGTACAAAATCAGGCGATAAGAACTATGCTTGGGGCCCCCATCTGGACCAACACAGTATGTCTCAGATCTGAGGCCCGGCTTCCTTCCTTGGCTGACAGAGTAAGATACAAAAAACGCCTGCAAAGTGGCCACGATTCTGCACAGGCAGCAAGGTACCCCACTAAGGAGACGGATATTGACAACCATGTCACAAGATCCCACACTCTTCACGGACTACTGGATTCGTTCGTTTTGTGCTGCTGGGCGGAAGCTGCTGCCTATACAACTACTCCTTGAGAAGAGTTGTGACCTTCCTGTTGCTGGGTACCATCCACCACCTCCCTGGCGCCCAGATCCAGCCGATGTTTGCATCATGCAGCTACCCATCTCTAAGCGTCTCTGCAGTCAAGACACTCTCAGCAATCATGCTGAGACAAGCATGGCACTGGCAGAGGGAGGCACATGTGCAGTGTATTTCACAGATGGTTTTGTCGACCCTGACAGGAAGAGAGCAGCAGCTGGACTGTACCACAATGGTCACACACAAGGCTGGCGACTCCCTGACCACTGCACGATCATTCAAGCTGAGTTGGTGGCGATTCAGCAGGCATTGTCACATGCCCTACGACATCGACCCCGACCTGTCATACATGTTGATTCCACGTCTGCAATCAATGCCCTCTCCCATCCTCAACCACAGGACAATGTTCACCTCATCACATCGATCTGAGCATAATGACAGCCTTAGAAGTTCAGGGTAACAGATCGACATTGAACTGGATCCCCAGCCATGCTGACATCCGGGGAAATGAGGCGGCAGATGATGCAGCCAAGGCAGCAACAGACTATCCACATGTTGGGATTACTGTCCCAATCAGCCTACGACAGACAAACTGGTGGCTGCCAGAGCCATGAAACTTATGGGGGAGGTCTTAGGTGATACCCCATCTCAACAGTGGTACCGAGAAGCGACTCAGGGAGAACCCCCTCCATATGATAGAAGCTGGTCCAGAGCGCAGTGTACCGCCATCCATCGGCTTCGTTTGGGCTTTCCACAGCCAAGATGATGGTAGACAAGGCTGAGGAGGAGATGTGCCAATACTGTCAGCACGTTGTCCAGCGGCCCTAACACACTATCTTCTGGATGTGCGAAGTTACTGAGACGCTCCGCAGGCAACTAGGAGTGATATTCCCTCCGAAGAGGACCAGAGATGACTGCGGCCACACTAGTGTACCATGGAGTCAACGAACCAGACAAGCTGTTACCTGTGATAACGACATATCCTCCTCCTCGCTAGTGTCCACAGTTAGGCGTACATACGGTGTTGTCGCTTATGAGATGCACCAGTTGAACTGACCAGAAGAGTGCTTGAACAGCATATGTCGCATCTTGTAGAAACCTTTCTCCTCGGGAGCCAGAGACGGGTCATCGCAAGATTGAGACCCGTGCCAGGACTACGGTCTTGGCGAACATTATACATACATACACAGAGAAGAATGACTAAAATGATTCACTGTATAAGGAATCTCCCGTATGAAGACAGAGCCTTGAATTTTCGCTCTCTAGAGAGACGTAGAATGAGAGGAGATATCGATATGTATAAGTGGATGATGGGCATAAACAAAGTAGTACATGAATGGTATACGGTACCGACAAGATGAAAATTAGACACGTGTGCAACATCTGGGTATCTTTATTGTAGACGTTTCGCCATCCAGTGGCTTTATCAATACAGATTCTAGGACATAACTTGAAGACAGTAGAACTATATACAAAAGATGAGGTAATCGGTCCCTCAGCCTTGGAGTTGGTGTGAAGAGCACCGTGGCTGTGGAGATTCTGGAGCACAGACGTACGTATAATGTTCAAGACCGGAGTCCTGGCACAGGTCTTAATCTTGCGATGACCCATCTCTGGCTCCCGAAGGAAAAAGGGTACTGCAATGTTGCAGCGTATGCTGCTCAAGCACTGTTCTGGTCAGTTCATCTGGTGCATCTCATAAGCGACAACGACGCATGTACTTCTAACAGTGGACACTAGCGAGGAGGAGGATATGTCATTATCACGGGCAACAGTTTGTCTGGTTCGTTGACTCCATGGTACACTAGTGTAGCCGCAGTCCTCTCTGGGTCTTCTTCGGGAGGGGACATCAGTGTTAGTTGCCTACGGAGTGTCTCAGTAGCTTGGCACTCCAGAAGATAGTGTGTTAGGGGGCGCTGGACAACGTGCTGGCAGTGCTGGGCACATCTCCTCCTCAGCCTTGTCTACCATCATCTTGGCTGTGGGAAAGCCCAAAGGAAGCCAATGGATGGTGGTACACTGCGCTCTGGACCAGCTTCTGAGTCGCTACTCGGTACCACTGTTGAGATGGGGGTATCACCTAGGACCTCTCCATAGGTTTCATTGCTCTGGCGGCT